TGTAATGCAGATCCTCTTGGAAGGGGAAACAGTTTATATTGCTGTTACTGTTTCTTTTCTCCTTAACCAAGCATTGTAAGCATTGGACATGTGGGACAAAAGAGGGAGGAACAATTTTTGGAGCAGAGAATGCCTCAGTTGGGCAGCAGGGGGTTACTGGGTGCCTTTTCTAGTTGAAGCACAGACAGGAGTTTTGAAAAGGATTCAAAGCATAATTTAACCTTTAAAAAAAATGTGCATTTTTGTATTAAATAACTATAATTTAAGAAGTACAAATACTGCATTTGAGAAGTTTATTTTAAAATTTATTTTTTAAATGGCTCTGCATTTGCTTAATATACTGCATTTGTTAATGCTCTTCCAAAGTGCAGCTTCTAGAAAGCAAAGATATCCTGCTAATAACAGCCATTTTGTCAAGAATGACAGCATGTCATTATTTTACTTACAAAACAAGATGATATAACACCAAGTTATAAGGATGAAGCACAAATTATATTTCACAAAAAATATATAACTTTTATTTCATTTGGGAACATAATTATAGTATATTATGTCTTCTCAAATTTCACAGAAATGCCCTAAGTAATTAGGCTGTATAGACACCAAGAATTTGAAAGTGTTATTACTTTTTTTTCCTATTGCAGTTTTACATACAGAAAATTATTTACAATTTCATAGCATTGAAAACTTTTGTTTAATATACGTATTTAACATAGGCCACTTAGTGATTCCGGTTGTACTGGATGAAGTCTGGAAGCTACTTGTATGGGCCTAGTATTTTAGAATTTGACTGTCTTGTTTCCTAGATCATAATGATACCATCTTTTGGCTTTCTTTGCTGAACTTTCAGAAGACCTGTTCTATAAAATATTTTACTTCACTTATTTTAGCTTCCCTCTGTAATTGCTAGGGTGGAATAACAGTCTAATAGCTTTCACAACTGTGAAGTTTATGCTATTTCTGTTTTGTACATCAGGCTGCAAAGAAGCTCCACCCAGTAAGAGTTTTCTTTAGACTAAGGATAGTGTGCTTTGCCAGGAGTAAGGCAAGAACTGTGATTAATAGGCAAAAGGTTAAGGATGAAGGTGCCTTGGAGTAAGCAATATAATTTTCAAATGGATGAGAAGGAACCAAAACTCACAATGGGCAAAGGGATTGCAAAAAAAATATCCATCTGCTCTGAATTAGTTTAGGTCTCTTGATGTGGATGAGTTATATTCCTTTGAATGGGATTGCAGAACCACTCCAGGTGATCTTTGAGGACACACAGAGAGTGAGAGGATAACATACAAATGCTATTCAATGTATAAAACAACCATAAGCTACAACCAGTGAACTCAATTTCAATTTCAGGCAGGATTCCAAATATACTATCAAAGGGTGATTTGTGAGGATGTATTAGAGAACCAATAAAATTGGGCCAATTTTATGTTCATTAAGAGAACCAGAAGGTAGAGCTTGCTCTATTCCATTTTGTGCAGAGTTAGTAGATCCAGGGACAGTAGTAGGCATTAAATATATGGACCTTTTGAAGGCATTTGACAAATTTTGTCAATATTTCTGAAGATAATAAGAATACATATAGGCTTCTTACAAAGGTAATTGGGTAATTGAATAACAAGTTGAAGAGTTATACTCAAAATATGCTGAGTAATGAGTCAGCATCAACCATGGAGATAGATATGATGTGGACTTCTATCCTCAACTTGGTCATAGTCAACATTTTTTATCCATGAATTCTAGAGTTAATAGGTCCAGGAACTGGAGTAGCCACAGAATATATGGACTTTATGAAGGCATATGACAAATTTTGTCATAATATTCCTGAAGACAATATGAATAAATGTAGGCTGGTTGCAAAGATAATTGGGTAGTTAGCCCTAAAGGTTTCCTAAATGTCTGTATCTTCAACACTTACAGATCTATTTGGATCATTCCCAGCTTAGGGCTTAGTTCTTCTGGGTGTGATGTCCAATCTTCTTCCACCTGCCAGCCATGGGTAGGGTGGGTGAGCGGAGGGCTTTTAGTCACATTATCACATAGAACAGCCAGGACTGTGGAAGGTAGATCTGTAAGAAAACTGGAAAGGAGTGGATTGGTATATTCAGGATAATGAGACGTGGTTTTGCACTGCAGTATTTTTAAATAAGGGCTTTATTTAACATAAAAGACAGATATAGTATATAATCTATACTAATAAAAGGGTAATATGCTAATTAGACCGAATTTCCTTCCGGACAAAGCCATGGTGGTGGGGCCAAGGCAGAGGCAGTTAGGGGTGATCAGGCCACCAGGGGAGAGCAGTTAGGGGGATCAGGCTGGCAGGGGAGGGCAGTTAGGGGGATCGGGCTGGCAGGTAGGCAAGCTGTTAAGAGCCAGCGGTCCTGGATTGCGAGAAGGATGGCCGACTGCTGGTTTAGGCCCGATCCCACAGGAATCAGGCCTAAACCGGCAGGCGGACATCCCCCGAGGGATTCCGTATTAGAGAGGGTGCAGGCCTCCCGTGCATGAATTTTGTGCACCAGGCCTCTAGTAGTAACATAATTGCTAAAAATATGAGATCACTATAATCTAGGGTTGCATTAGAAGATATTAATGATACTACTAATGAGATATTGGAAAGAGGGAAGTTTGAGTACTTTCTTATTCTGCTTCAGTGAGACCAGCCACTCTGAAGTAGGCAATTCTAGGTACCATACTTGAAACAGATGTAGAAACCAGGAACAAGTTCAGAGAAAAATATCTAGAATGGGAAAGAAATTAAAAATCATGTCGTAATGGGAACAGCTGTAGGCATTGGAAGTTGACCTGGGAAAGCAAGACAGGGAATGTTCCTTATAATTGTCTTCTAATATAAGAAAGAGGCCTGTGGTTTAGGAGGTTTAGGGCCAGTGGACACTCTAGGCAGGCAGATTTGGGGTCAGCATGAGAAAATTTCCTGATAGACAAACCATCAGAAGATGCAACAAGCTGCTTTACAATGTAGTTTTCCATCATCTGGGGTATTGAAAACTTATCTAGGTAGGAGTAGACTCAGTGAACGCATCCAGGGCTTGAACCAGGTTATCTTTATGATTTTTTTCAAACCTGTTCTTTTCTAAATCTACACCTTTGGTATCAGTGGCAGTTAGATGATTGATGAAGTCATTCATTGGTTTTCTACAGTATTATATTTTGGGGTAGCATTGATTAATAAGCTTATATAGGTTTCAAGTGTACAATTCTATGATATATCATCTGTATATTACACTGTGTGCCCACCACCCAAAGTCAAATAATCTTCCATCACCATATATTTTGCCCCCTTGAACCTTGACTAGTCCCCCAGCCCCCTTCCTTCTGGTAACCACCATACTGGTATCTGTGTCTATGAGTTTTTGTTTGTTTGTTTTACTTGTTTGTTCATTTGTTGCTTTCAGTTTTATATCCCACACATGAGTGAAATTATATGGTTCTTAACTTTTCCTGACTTATGTCACTTAACACGATATTCTCAAGATCCATCCATGTTATTGCAAATGGCAGCATTTCATCTTTTCTTAAGGCTGAATAGTATTCCATTGTGTATCGGAGGATACTTCAGTTGTTTCCGTGTCTTGGCTACTAATGCTGCAATAAACATAGGGGCTCATCTATCTTTATGAATAAGTGTTTTCAATTTTTGGGGGGGTAGATAGCTATACTCTTAATTTTTTGAGGAGCCTCCATACTGTTTTCCATATCTGTACCAATTTACATTCCCATCAGCAGTGAATGAGAGTTCTTTTTACTCCACAATCTCTCTAACACTTGTTATTTCTTGTTCTTGTTGATAATAACCATTCTGACATTTGACATTTTTATTATTGAAGTTTAAATGTGCAAAATTTTACTATATAAAAATTTATTATTAGTTTGTTTTAACCTAGTCTTGTGTAATAGCATTGATAAGCAGATAAGGTGGCCTCACTCTTGGTTACAGGAGTCATTTCTACAGTCTTGAGGGAGGTTAATTAGGAGTAAGTACTTTTCTTATAACCCAAGTGTTGTTTTCTTTTTAGTGCCCTGGAGCAAATATTTAATGAAGCTGTCTCTTTTCCTATGTGAATAGCAAGACAAGTAAAGGCTCCTTGAAAAATATTTATGTACTTGAGACAGAAAAAATAATTACCTCTCTTTTGACTTTACTAAAATTCTAGTTTTCACCTCCCCAGTGTTGTCCAGAGATATGTGGACATTATATCTGAAGAGAGTAAGAGGATTTAGCTGACATCCACTTTGTAGATAAATATGATACAAATGGTTACAGACGTGGGTATTGGTTTTAAATAGACCTGAGTTTAATCCTCACGTCTCCACCTACCAGCTGGTTATAAACTTCAATAGTCTCCCTTTTCTTATCTATAAAATGAGCACAACCATAACTCCCTGAGGGGAAAGAACTAATTTAGGGAGAAGAGATTAGGTCCAAAGTATTTTTTCTTCTTTGTGGTTTTATGATAGAATGTAAAACTCTGCAAAAATCATAAAATGTTAACACTGAACAGGAACTGAGAGATCATTTGGCTCAATGGCCTAATTTTATAAATGAGGAAAGTAAGATCAGAAAAAGCCAAGAGGCATCTCCAGAATCATGGTGCAGTTGGCAGTGAAAGGCCAGTGCTTTCTTCCCACTCCATGGAAAACTCATCTTGAAACAAGAATTGTAACGATGTTTTCATCATTTTTGTTTTATTTTATGGAAAATATTTCAAGAGCAAGTCTTTCTTAGAGATACCATGGAAAAATAATTACTCTGAAGGATTCTTTTCTAATTCCAAGATTCTGTGTCAGAATCAATATCATGGCAATTTAAAAAATTTTATTCAAATATAAGCAATGTCATAATTATCACTCCATGTCATAGTACAGTATACATTTACTTCATTTGACAAGCGTTGTTGCTATAACATCTTCTGTTGGACTTCATTTCTTCAGAATTTAAAAATACCATTTTAATAAATGTATATTCTATTTTCTAGATGCCCTCTGAAGAAAAAGTTTGTAAGTACTGTGGAGTGAGCTATCTCATTCTTCATGAGTTTAAAGCTATGGAAGAAAAAGTGAAAGCGATGGAAAAAGAGATGAAATTTTATCAAGGAAGTGTAGAACGTGAAAAGAAACTTCAAGAAAAGCTACATTCTCTTAGCCAAGATTTTGAACAATACAAAATTGACAATGACTCCAAAACAGAAAGGTTGGAATATGTTATTCTTTTCTATTATTTATTTAGTTTGAAGAAAAGTACAGACAATAGATAGACTTTCAATGTTCTTCTAGAATTTCTCTGTATCAGGTATAATTTATACTTGAATACATGTTAGTTTTTTATTAATTATTAATAATTAATAAATGTAATTACTAATTATAGTTTGAGCATTCTTTTAGACATGTATTTATTCTCAGAATGATTAGAAACCAATTAATTTAATAGCCATAAGTTGAGATAAGTTAAGTTTTATTTTTCCCCAGATATATCTTAATTTTATCATTAGGAAAATTTGTCTGTCAAAAATTAGGTGAGTTTTGGCAGTTTCTGATGCCTAACCTTTGTTTTAAATGGCCTTGAAAATTTAGATTTACAGGATAAGGTTTTTATGACTTGAGAAGAATGCCAGGACTTTCAAATTGGCATGTGATTCTAAGTCATGGAAATTGGAAAAAAAATTAAATAATAGGTTCCTAACACTATCAAATCTAATCCATTTAGTCTGCTTCAAGACACTTCAATGAACTTGTACAGACACTTCTAAGAGAAGGTTTTTTTTTGTTGGAGTTTTATGGCTTTACCTTTTTCCCATGAATGAATATTTCTCCATTTAAAATATCAACAGTTGGTGTTAGTAAACCTTGAATTAATGAATTTAATGAATATCATCATGTCTTTACAAAAATAGAAACTTTCTTAAATCTCTTAGGATTAAGTACTTCTACTACATTTTATTACAAATTTTAATAATTACATTAAATGTCAGTTGAATCCAATATTTTGTAGTTCTTTACCAAGAAAATTTTGTTATAGTTTTTTAAATTTCAAATCTGATAACAAAGTGTTTCATACTATTTGAATGGAAAAAAAAAACTTGAAGTATTCAATTTAAAATTTGGTGGTTTTCTTGCCTGTCAGAGATTCTTTTGTTTGGGGTTTATTTACACTTTACTTTCTTTATGTGTTGTTTAAGTACATAAACGCCTAAAGTAAAAGATGCATATGGGAGAAAAGGCAAGAAAGTCCCTTTTTATCCTGATGATTGCTTTTTGCTGGAGATAAAACCACTTTTAATGATTTGGTGCATATTCTTCCATTGTGCCTTTACCTTTATTATAGATACATTTATTTAATGTATGTAATATATACTGAGTGGCCAGATTATTATGACCACCCCATCATTTATTAATTTCAGAAAAAATGGGAACAGCTGAGAGTGTGCCACGGGTGATTTAGCTAATTTGACCTCCGCGGGCTGGTGTACAGAGAAGGCGCCTCTTCCCTCTTCCAATTTTATTCCCCGCTACTCTTATGGTGCATACATTTTTCAAACCCATACACACCTGTCAAAATGACTGTCATCAATAAATCAACAAACAAGTGTTGGTGAGGATGTGGAGAAAAGGGAACCCTTGTGACTGCTGGTGGGAATGCAGACTGGTGCAGCACTGTGAAAAGCAGTATGGAGTTACCTCAAAAAACTAAAAATAGAACTGCCTTATGGTCCAGTGATTTCACTTCTAGGAATTTATCCGAAGAAATCAGAAACACTAATTTGAAAGAATGTGTGCACTTCTATGTTCATTGCAGTGTTATTTACAATAGCCAAGATTTGGAAGCAGCCCAAGTGCCCATCAGTAGGTGAGTGGGTGAAAAAGCTGTGGTACATTTACCTAATTGAATTCTACTCGACCAGAAAAATAAGGCAGTCTTACCCGTTGTGACAGCATGCCTGGATCTGGAGAGCCTTATGCTAAATGAAATAAGCCAGTTAGAGAAAGACAAGTACCATATGACTTCACTCATATGTGGACTCTAATGACAAAATAAGCTAACAAGCAAAATAGATACAGACTCATAGATAGAGGGCAGGCTGACATCTATTAGGGACGTGTGGGCTGGGTGAGGAGGGTAGAGGGATCGAACAAAAAAGGAAAAAAAATTGCCCTAGTCCAGTGGTCGGCAAACTCATTAGTCAACAGAGCCAAATATCAACAGTACAACGATTGAATTTTCTTTTGAGAGCCAAATTTTTAAAACTTAAACTATATAGGTAGGTACATTGTTATTAACTTAATTAGGGTACTCCTAAGGCTTAGGAAGAGCCACACTCAAGTGGCCAAAGAGCCGCATGGGGCTCGTGAGCTGCAATTTGCCGACCACGGCCCTAGTCGGTTTGGCTCAGTGGATATAGCGTAGGCCTTTGGACTGAAGGGTCCCGGGTTCAATTCCTGTCAAAGGCACATACCTCAGTTGCAGGCTCCTCCCCGGCCCGAGCCCTGGACAGGGCACGTGCAGGAGGCAACCAATCAATGTTTCTCTCATGTCGTTATTTCTCTCTGTCTTCCCCTCTGGCTTTGACCCTTTCTAAAAATCAATGGAAAAATATCCTCAGATGAGGATTAAAAAAATAAATAAATTCATTGACACAGACAACAGTATGGTGATTACCAGTGGGAAAGGGGAGTGGTAGAAAAAGGTATAGGGGGATAAACAGTGATGGAAGGAGACTTGCTTTGGGGTGGGGAACACGCAGTACAGTGTACAGATGATGTGCTGTGGAATTGTGCACCTGAAACCTATATAATTTTGTTAGCCAGTGTGAACCAATAAATTCAATAAAACACACACAAATGTGTATTGTTTAATCTCCAAGTATTTTGGGATTTCCCAGCGTTCTGTTTGATTTCTAGATTAATTCCATTGTGGTCTGAGTACAGACATTATATGTTTTTAATTTTTAAAAAGTTGTTAAAATGTGTTTTATGGCCCAGAATGTGGTCTGCCTTGGTGAATGTTCCGTGTGAGTATGAGAAGGATGTATATTCTTCTGCTGTTGGATGAAGTAGTCCATGGATGTCAATTAGATCAGTTGATTGCTGCTGCTGTTGTGTTCACATATGTCCTTACTGATTTTCTGTCTAATGATTTTATCAGTTGCTAGGAGTACAGTATTGGAAGTCCTCCACTCCAACTGTGGGCTTGTCTATTTCTCTTTGAGTTCTTTAATTTTTGCTTCACCATTTTGTAGCTCAGTTGTTTGGTGTGAACACATTTAGGATTGTTATGCCTTCCTGGTGGATGGATCCTTTGTTAGTCATATAATGCACTTGGTCTTCTCTGGTATTTTTCTTTGTTCTGAAGTCTACTTTATCTGATAATAATATAGCCACTACTGCATATTTAATAAACTGTTTACATTGTTATTTTTTCCATTTTTTTACTCTCAACTTACCTCTGTCATTGAATTTGAAGTGAGTCTTGTAGATAGCATATTGTTGAATCATGGGTTTTTAAATCCACTCTGCCTGTCTCTTTTAATTGGTGTATTTAGACCATTCACATTTAAAGTAATTATTATTATTTTAACATATATTTTTATTGATTTCAGAGAGGAACGGAGAGGGAGAGATAGAAACATCAATGATGAGAGAGAATCATTGATCAGCTGCTTCCTGCATGCCCCTACTTGGGATCGAGCCCACAACCTGGGCATGTGCCCTTGACCAGAATCAAACCCGGGACCCTTGGGTCTGCAGGCCATTGCTCTATCCACTGAGCCAAACTGGCTAGGGCTAGGTAATTATTGATATGCTTGGATTTAAGTGTGCCATTTTATTATTTGTGTGTAGTTTGTTCTCTCTGCTTCTCTTCTTCTGTTTCTCTTTTCTTACCTTTATTTTGGTTTCTTGAACATTTTTAAGGTTAGAGCTTGATTTCTTTATATGATTTTTAGTATATTGCTTTGTATAGGTTTCTTAGTGGTTGCAATACAGGTGCATAACATAGTCTGTGGTTTAATTATTATGTGTCTTGGCATGGATTCCTTTGGGTTTATCTTTTTGGGTAGAATTGGATCTTTCCCAAAGATTGTTGAAACTATGTTTATAACTCTTGTCATATTTAGGGAGTTTTCAGCTATTAATTCTTTAAATATTATTTAGAGCTACTTCCTCTCTCTTTTTCTCAGATTCCTAACTTATGAATATTTGCTCTTTTGTTATTATCCCACAGGTCCATGAAACTCTGTTAATTATTATTTTTCTGTCTGTTTTCTCTCTGTTGTTCAGACTGGGTGCATTCTGCTGATCTATCCTAAAGGTTGGTGATTCTCTCCTCTGTCATTATACTCTGCCATTGACCCATCCAGTGAGGTTTTTTCCCCTCAGTTACTGTGTTTTTCAGTTATATAATTTCTTCTTTTTTTAAAAAAAAAATAACTTCTTTTTCTTGTTGAGGTTTTCTTTCAAGAAAAATTTAATTACTTTTAAAAATAACTTTTGTGATGGCTGCCTTATGATCTTTGTTTGATAATTCCAACATCTGACTCATCTCAGTGTAGGGTCTGTTGATTGTCTTCTCTCATTAGTGTTATGATTTTCTTGGTTCTGGCATGATGACTGATTTTCCATTCAATCCTGTTTATTTTGGAGGTTATCCTATGAGACTTTGGATCCTATTGAATACATACATGTTTAGCAGGTACTCCCTCTGTTGAGGTATAGCATGATAGCCAGCTGGGTATGTTTTTTTCAGTTTCCTACTGTCCTACCAACACTGCCTTGTATCAGACTGGTGGAGTGAAGGTCACCTATTCCCCTTGGCCCCATTCACATCTTTCCAGCCAAAGTAGATCAGCAGCTTGCACTGCCTGTGTCTCTGTAGGAGTATATAAGATCAGCTCCCTGCTGTTGAGCTTACTGTCACCAGGGAAGCAGGGAATCAGAAGACTGACTCATAATGTTTTGTTGCAGCAGGGTAGGGGCAGAAGCTTGGCTCCTCTCTGTGCCCTGTTGACACCAAGGGATAGGAAAATGCCAACCAGCACTGCCTTCCCCCGCTTGATTCTGCCTTGTTGATGCCAGATGCAAGTGGAGGCTCAGCTCTCTGCTGGTCTCACTGGCACCAGTGATAGGGAAGCAGAGTGTTGACTCCTCTGTCTCTCAGCACCTTATTCTACCTCATTGGTGCAGGGTGGGCTGGAGGCT